AATTTTTTTTTTTTAATTCATATAAAAGACTATTTCGTCCGATTGAAGAAAGTTCAATTTTGAAGCGTGCACTAATGGTTTTTTTTATTTCTTTTTATTAAGCTATGATCTCGTTACAGATAATTTTGAACGGATACACTTTCAGATTTATCTTTCAACGTTTATAATATAAGAACATTTATTAGAAAATACAGTCTTAAGTAACATAGTTTTTCTATTTACATTTCTATCTATCAGTGAGACTTCGCCTTGTAAAATGAGCGATTTAATTAATCGATATCCTGTATATCATGCACATACATATTTATCATTTCTTGTCTCTTACCTTTTTCAATGATACGTTAGAGATTACTTTGTTTTAAAATTAAATGACAAGCACCGTAACAATTATCTGACAATTAAACTATTGACATATCTTTCCCAGAAATCGGTAAATTCTTTTTTTTTTTCAAAAACCCCGTTAATATAATCATACGTTTTTTTTTTAAACATCATGAGTTATCTGTAAGGATTATTTTATTTCACACCTGCTTCACAATACGTCAGATTATTCATCCTAATTCATGCAAAAAAAATTTCAAATTCACGTTTAAAAAAAAAAAAGATTTTCGATGTGCCCGAGTGTCAAAATTTATTCCTAGTCTAGTGAACTTTCACGTAAGAGAAGTTTCGTTAAATAATCGCACACACCGTCCCTGAATCTAACACGAGTCGTACGTAACGCTTCGTTACGTCACACGTGTACGTATAATAGCACGTGAACACCAACATACAAATTCGTATTTACGAAAATCTTCGAATCTACTACGTTTAGGTATATTCGTGAACCAATCAAACAACGACGAAATGAAAAAAAAAGACAAATTTGTGAAGATCAACGAAATCATTTTACAATTAACGATCAATATAACGAATTCTAACGAAGTTTTTTTTATTATATAACGAGAGTAGCGCGTATCGGTTAGAAACGTCTAAGCAATTATATTAAAACTACAAACAACTCTAGTATTACGTGAATGAAAACGTTATTGCTAAAAGAATATAAACGAATATTATATAATCAAAATAGTTTGATATTAGAAAATAAGCTTTAATCATAATGTGCATTAGTATTACTCATACGTGGTTTATTTTAAAAAAAAAATATGATACTTCAAAATTACGTGTGTGTATAATATCATTTAGTATCATCGATAAGCACGTGTAATCGTGTAATTCTTCTATCTATCTATCCCTCTCTCTCTCTCTCTCTCTCTTTCTCTATTATTCTATCTATCTATCTCTATACGTAAGTCTATCTCTTTTTTTACACGTACACGCTAGCTAGCTAACTCACTATCGCGCCAATTCCACTCTCATTCATTATATAAAGCTTCCCCAATGTTTACCAAGAGCGTACTTTATTTATAGTCACACCGCTATTCTTTATACGATGCTTACGAAGATTCGTTAACATACGATGGAAGCAGCTTTTCTATCTCGCGGCATCTTTTTTAAATCTAACCACATGCAACAGACCTAACTATATCTACTATGCACATGCATATTCTTTCATACAAATCAAAAGTCTCTGTTTCTAACAGAATTTACATACAAATGATCGATATATAACAGGTTTGAATAAATCGTGGGATCAATTGTAAAATAAACGAGAATATAATACAATATTTACGTTGTTTAATGAAAATCAATAATTATTTCATGTGATAGTAATTTAATAGATAGGCATAATTATGATGATGATGATTTCGTTTTAAATTTTAAATGACTTTGTTTTTTAATTTTTTTTTCGCAAAGAATTATAAAGATTTTCTTAATTAACGTAATTGATTAAATAATTACATAAACTGTTGAATATTATTTAAATAATATCTGATGATCTACTGTAGTTATTCTATTAGCCAATCGAAAAGTATCAAACGCATTATCATCATGGAAAACATTCGTGGAAAATATATATGTATAATATATGCCAAGATAAAAATAACATTTTTATCTCACGCGAGAAGAAATAACAAATTCTCAAAAGAATATTATTATTTTTTTTTTTTTTGTATATTTAATCTTAATACAAAAAGAAGCTTCACTAGATCTAAATTTTCTTGATCGAATCATTGGAGAATCGGTAAAATTTAAAAAGGTTTACTTTAACTTCAACTTCTTTTATAAATTTTTGTCTCTTTCGAGAGGATATAAGTTTTGTATTTTTTTTTTTCTTTTTTTTTGATGATACGATCACGAATGACTTAGCGTTCTCCATGTGGAAGCCTATTGACGAAAGAGGAGGGTTTTTATATAACTGTTGAGACTAAAGTCATTCCTCGAAGCGGTTCTAACTACATTTTTGCAAAGCCGTACGACCTTAAGGCTCAAAGTAGTAATGATACCATTATAATCGGTCGAAGAAAAAGAAAGGAATAACAAGATTAAAGAAAATGAACAATGAACAAAAGAATCAACACAATATAAACAAAAAATATCACGAAATATCAATTAGGTTTAGTAGATTAATCGAAAATACTTGAATACACAAGTTTTCTGAGAAAATAACAAGGGTTGACGTATCTCAAGAGTCATGATGATACTCGACGTTAACGAAGCTAGTTGCATCAAGTGATACTAATTTCATTTCTGATAGATATCGTTCCCCCTACTTATATAGAATTTCGATAAATATCGTTTTCAAGAAATTCATCGATTACTTTAAATCAAGAATAACATCAATAATCCTAGATGAATCATTCATAGCTTACGTATATCAAAAATTTCACAATGAAATTCTTATTTTAAAAGTAAGAATTTATATCTGTCTCACAACTATAATTATTATCCTTATTAGCGATATACTTAGGCAAACAAACAAACAAACAAAAACACATTGGAACAATAGACAATTTTTCGAATACGTTGTACGAGTATATAATCTTTACGATGGAAAATTGTAACGAAAAAATTCTTTTAATCTTTAACGATGATAGACCAATATAATGTTCTGTACAATGACAAAACTATTATTATTATGATTATCTTTCTTTTCCATTTCTCTCGTATTTTTGTATTTTTTTTCTTTTTTATTTTTTTTTTTTTCTTACATTAGTTCACGCGTAAAAGTTTTACGTAACGGTTAAGATATACGTCATATTTCGATGATTAACAATTTGTTTTGCGATCGACAAAGGTGACTCTTTGTTCGACACAAATACCTTACGTAAGTCGGTAGATAAACGGGTGTATATGCAGCACGTATAGGAAAGATTAGACTCTTTTCAAAATTTTATTCTCGTCTTTCGGGAAAAGTTATGTTGTCTTTTTTTTCGTATATGCAAGCAAGACTGACGAATACGATCGCAGCGAGAAAAAACAAATTAAAAACAACGTTTCTGATTCACGATTGATGATGAATGATACACGTTTCTTCGAGTACATAAGTTCTTCCCTCTATGTATGCATCATTTTAATAAACAACTAATAAGAGAAACGATAAAAGCAACCGAGCTCGGTTAAATTCATAAATATTTTCTCCGAGTAATGTATCTGAGTGATGTATGTGTAGGTACGTGCATACATACATGTATACATCGATAGAATGATCAAATTCATTGCTTGGATATTTTTATACGACAAATTTATGAATGCTCAAGAATAAGAAAAATATATTTCAAGAAATAGTAGAAAAATCTTCGATATAAATTAATAATAAAAACCATATTGATAGTTTATTTCAAAATTGATGCTATGTCCATTTTTAGTTTTTTTGAGAAAACTAAAAATGTTTAACATATACTAACTCGGTACAAAAATATAAATTAACGATATATTATTACAGTAACAACTTATATTTATATATTAACTTATTATATAAGTTATAATTAAATGAAATTAGTATTAACTACTATAAATATTAACTTATCGATACGTAATTAGATTATATAAAGTTATTTTTGGTCGAACTTAATTAAAGAAATATATATATATATATATTATTAACTGATGAATTTAACATCACTTTTCGAATGAACGATCCCATATGTTGTATTAATTTAGTGTGCATAATTGCAACAGCCTTCGTAGCAGTCAGCAAAACGTTCGGAGAAACGAACTCCGATTATCTAAGGACACGACAGAGTGGGGTCATTGACAAGAGCCAAGCCAGATGGAGCTATGGCCTCAGCGAGGCCAAGCATGAAACTTCACAGCAATCAGCTATGAAACGATCTGTGTATCTTTCATTTTTCTTCGACTACAAAAAATTTAGGATCTCGAAAAATTACCCCACTTCTCAACCCCCCCCCAAAAGTACACACAAATAATGAATTCAGAAGTTTTGAGAAATTGATACTCGATCTTGGTTTCGGTTTTCGTCAACCCGATCAAATCCCATCGTTGGGATAATTTTAATCGGGGAAAGAAAAGCAAGGGGTTGAGAAAAAAAGATTGCAATGAGAAAGGGGGAGGGTGGCGTTGCAACGACAAACGAGACTGCTCATGCTCCGTAAAAGTAAAGCTAACCCTGCCGAGAATCCGTGAGGAGGAGAGTCGTTCGTGAAAGGATCGATCGATCCCCAATCGGGAATTTGATTAATTTTATCATTAATATAAATAAACCATTTTTTTTTTCTTTTCTATTCCTCAATTCCCTTGTTCCCGTGCGTGCATTTACGAAAGGATCCTAACGACTCGAACGATAAAAGTGAATTAGATTTAGGTGACTTGGGTTGGGGGTAAAAAAAAAAATGATGAAAAATTAAACGTAAAAGAAGAAGAACAAAAATTATGATAAATTCCGATAGGATGGGAAAAAAGGAATCTAAAGGAAATAATAATAATAATAATAATAGTAATAACAATAATAATAATAATAATAATACGTGGCGCTGGCATCGTACTCGGCAATCTGAAAAGCAGCAGCAGCAGCAGCCGCCGGGTGGGTTGATGACGGTGACGGTGGTGACGGTGGTGGTACTGGTCGTGGTGGTGGTGGTGGTGGTGGTGGTGGTGTACGATGAGAACGACGCTTCTAGTGGCATCAGTCGACGTTCTACGCTCGTCCAACGCGGATCTCGATGGCGTTCGATTTATCGCGAGTTCCTCGATAGCCGCGTGCTCGTGGGGACTTGTCAAACTTAAAAACAACACCACACACCTCTAACAAAATCCCCTTTTTTATTTTTGTTTGTGGTGGTTAACATCGATCATACATATTTACAAAGTTAATTAGTTTGTGTATTGTTATTGTTATTGTTGTTGTTGTTGTTGTTGTTGTTGTTGTTGTCAGGAGTTATTAATAACGCGATGCATGACGAGTTTGGTATATCGAAATTCTACTCTAGCGGTTTCTACCGCGCGGATTATTGGACGAGCGACGCGCGCACGTAAAAAGGACTCCTGCCGCGTCCCTCCAATACACACACAAAGAAAGAGAGATAAAGAAGAAAGTGTAGTGTCCTTTAAAAACGACAATCATCGTCAGAATGGAACCCGCCAAAGACCGTTTGGCGTCTCGTTATTGTGGATATCGTTTAGCTGTCGAAATATATGAAAAGAGTTTGGTCAGAGCAGACAGGTCAGCGACTTGGTATCTCGTATCCGCTATTCTGGAAGAATTGGCCGGTCCAACGAGTACAATCAATTGTATGCCAAGTATCACTAGCCCGACAAGTGTGATGAATACTACGACAACGACAACTATGACGACAACTACGTCAACAACTACTACGACAACTAATACAAGTTCAATTATGAATCCCAGTATGCCATTGAGAAGAAAAATCGAGTTATATTTTGCTTGTCCATATTGCGAAGGTACATTATTCGAACCCGTTACTACAAGCTGTGGACATACATTTTGCAGAAATTGCATGGAAACAGGAACAAATTGTCGCGTGTGCGGTCAAAAAATTCTTACTATTGGTCAAACTAACGTGCTAGTGCAAAGACTCGTGGAAAAGTGGTGGCCGCGCGAACTTGAAGCAAGCAAAGCTAGACACGAGGGTGACCTCCTCATAAAGGAGGGTGACCTGACTAAGGCACTGGATAGGTACAACCTTGCCGTTAGATTAGGTGAGTACTTTAACTCGTCTAACTTACTTTTATTCTCCCTTTTTATTCTTCTTTGTTCTTTATATTTTTTTTCTTTTTTTGGAAAAACCTTTTGCACGTCTAACCCTTTAGCTCGTAACCCTTTTTAATATTACCTTCTTATTACTAACTTCGCGCGCGAATCCGTCAGGAATCAAGAACGTTTCGTAAGGTATACGCCACGGTTACGTAAAGACCGTTATGAAACGCCAAACTTGGATAACGGTAACGTTTGTAGAAATCGCTTTGTGCGCGAAGATACGTCCAATATATATATAATACGTACGTGTTTTAGTTATGCTTACTATAGTCGTTTATTTTTAAGAAAAATAAAATAAGGATAAGCTTGTTAAATTATATTACATTTATTTTCTTTTATTTTTATCGATATATTATACTTTGTTCTTTTCTTTGAAATAAAATACTTTTACGTTTTAGTTTTTAATAAAGTCCTTTAAATACGATTATTTATTATATATATTTGTTTAATTTTAATTTTATTTTATTTGTGAATTAAATTATTGATTCGTTATTTAAATTTTTTAATCATTGAATTTCCTAAGTAACAAATTAACATTAATTCGAAATAATATTGCATGATTGTCTTTAATTAAGTGATTTTTTAATTAATGTTAGTATAATTTGCTAGAGGTGCAAATATTGTTAAAAGTGACACGTGCTTTTTTCTTTGTCCATGTGGATATGACAAATCGACGAATATGACGCGGATAACTCGACTGGTTTCGAATTCTTTCGTTTCTACTTCGAAGTATCATTTTTCAATAAATTTCACATTACAGGAATAGGTTTGTTAATTCAAGAAGAGAATGTTGCATTCGTGCAACGGAAACAAAACTAAAAAAAATAAATAAATAAACGTTGATAGTATTATTGTTACTCGTAAAACGCCGCTTTTTCATTACCCTGGCGGCCTCTGGTTGACGACCTCGTCGCGAATAAATGACGCAAAACTTCTTCTTCTTCTTCTTCTTCTTCTTCTTCTTCTACTTCTTCTCCTTTGTTCGAATTCCCAGACATTGAAATATCTCGACAGCTTTATAAAAAAAAGAGAAATAAAAAAAAAATAATCCAGACGATACGATGACCAATCGAAACGGGAACGAATCAAATCAAGTATAATCAATCATTTTTGTTGAATAAATTTTAAATAAAATAATTTTCTTTTTAGGCAAATCATGAGAATGAGAATTAACTCTTTGAATGATGAATATTTTTACCTAAAAAAATGTTTTGTAAGAACGTAATAATTTATTATTAATGCAGATATTATAAAAATATCGATAAAAAGTGTGATTCAGTTAGAACAAATCATAGTTTAAAAAGAAATTATTCGATGCAACGAATTTAATTAAAAGATTTGAGAATGATAGAAATATAAGAGAAAAATAAGGTCAAGTAAGAAACTTTGTAAAATTATTCATCGATTCGTTTAGCTTCGAGTTATTTTCGTAATTTATATTGTATTAAATAAAATGTAAAAAGATGGGTTGAGAAAGAGAGAGAGAGAGAGAGAGAGAGATTAGTTAAATTATTGACGAAAGACTCAGTTCTTGGTAAGGATAATGGACGGATTATCGTAGAAGTCAATCCATCTTTGTGCTTGCCGTATAAATAGGGGCCGTGAACGATTATCAGGTTTATATCTGGACTTGCATCAGTGCGTCGACCTATCTCTCGACTGCTGCGCTCGCGTACTCTCGACCATTTCGAAATATATATATATATATAGTCTTTTTATAAACTTCTACGCCATTTTTGTCGAAAATCCAATAGATTCGTAATTGGAAACTTCTTTTTTTTTTTTCTTAGCTTAAATTAAATAATTTACGATCAACTTACTGCACAACATTTTAATTTTCTCCTAGTATGAAAAAAAATATATATCATTTGAACGCTTTAAGTCCTATGGACGCATATACGCGTTTGTCAATATTAATTTAAAATAACATGTTATATTCGTTTGAGTATTTATCATATTTTTGTCATATGAAAATTTAAACTACTTTAATTATTATTATATAATAAATGTAATTAATATAAATATAATTATATTAATTATTATTTTTATATATAATTAATTTTTTAATATTATTTACATATATATTTATAAAAATAATAATAATTATTATTATTTTTAATTATTTAAAAATAATAATATAATAATATTAGAATGATAAAATAATAATTATATATATTAAATATAATTTATTATTAGAATCTTGTTAATTAATTTACACCGTACAATAAATAAATAAATTTGAACAGAGATGGGAAATATAATAACGTGTTTGAAATAACGCTAGATAAAATAAGAAGATATCGAACTAAAAAGGGATGAGATTACGTTAGAAAAGGAAAAACAAGGAATAAGGCTAACCAAGCCTACTCTACACGACTATACGAAGAAGAAGAAGACGAAGACGAAGACGATAAGTTCACGGCCAGTCTGAGACGACGGTGGGTTGATTATATAACGCTTCGAAAGAGGCTCGAACGAACGCGTCGGCAAGAACGAACTATTCCGAAGGCATAGTTGTGAGTTCCAACCATCGTTGAGAGTCACGGTGGATGCACTCGGGAGACAAAGAACTCAAACTCGTCGAGTGAGAGTGCATCGTACCTGGCTACTTACGATTCTATCCTTCTCTTTCTTTCTTTCTTTCTTTCTTTAACATCAACCTCATCTTTTCTATCAACTATTTTACGTTTGTTAGTATTGACTTACACACACGCATACGTGTATGTACGTGACGTTAAGCACGTTACGAGTAAACACAATGTTTTCTAAGTAAAACTTGAAGATAAAAAACAGGAAAATTCATGGATTTATTGGTCAGAGTTAAATCCTTCGAGTTTGATGACAAATACAATCATCGGAGGACGTTTGCCTGATTCGAGGACGATTAGTCATCGTACCAAATCGTTTTATCACATGTTTCTATTTTTTATTTTTTCTTAGAAACTAATTTGTTTCTACTTGCGATATCAATATGTTGAATTCCATTTAAGTTTCATATGTTTTACCTTAGATGCCACGTTTGTTGTTTAAATGTATATTTAATCAATCTATATCATCTATCAAACATTATCTAAATTATCTGTAATTATCTTTATTCTTAAAACTCTTATATAAATTCTTTATTAATTAGTTTACCCCATAAAATAAAATTAAATAAAATAACGTAGCTTACAGGTGACCCAAATTGTATTAAAAACGTGTTTACCTTTTCGTATTAATTTCCAATAAGTATTCTTATATAAAACATCCCTTCTTCGTGATTTATATTCCCTTCACGTAAATTGGCAGGATTGCTTCTCCTGGAATAAAAACAAAAAACAGAAAAAATCTTGTTCCGTTTCCTTCTTTCGTGCGAATTCGATGTTAGGTTGATGGAACTCTGCCAAATACTGGATATCTCTTATCGGTCCTCCGATACACTGTTGCTCCTTCTCGTGAAAATCCCGCGGGTGAGGTCGAATCAAACCAGGGAGTAGAACGTGCCCGCGAATTCTAAAGAGCCCAGCCTAGCGCATTTCGGAGGTCAAGGACGTGACAGTAACACGTTCAAATGATTCTTGAAGTAAGCAACCGACCTGACATTTTGCTACGAGAACGAAACTCGGTTTGATTTAAAACCCTTTGAGTAGTGTATACTTTTAACTTAAGTGTTTTTTAGGGACTAGGAATTAGTGATTGATATTATTAATCAGACAGATTCTAATAATAAAATTATATTTAATAATTATAATTTTTATTTGACTTAAAGATGATCTTCTTCTTTTACTTTTTTATTAAATCTCGATGTCGTACTACTCGTACGTTTCGAGGTACGCGAAAGTGTGTCAAGGTGTTTCATGGAAATAAAATCACAAAATTCAATACGATGTGTTCCAAATAAAAATACCTCCAAAACGTTTGGCAAGTTTTACTATTGTCCTTGCGTAATAATAAAAAAATACATAAAAATTGGGTCATATAATTATTTTAATTATGTTGTTGTTTTTTTTTTGTCTAATTAAAATCTGAAGTAATCATTGAAACGAATGATCTCGTATTTTTTCGTATTGATTGGCAAAACAAATGAGACAATGATACACGTTTGAAATCATTTTCCAATTCGAATACTTGCCACTCATCCTCCCCTTGTCTCTTTTTCTTCTTTTCTACTCTCGTAACAGTAAAGATAGAGATAAATACAATCCGACTTTGTTGAGTTCCGCGGGTAAAAGTGGGTCATGTCCTCGATCCTTCTGCGATCGTACCCCATTCATCGCTTGGAATTTTTCTTTCTCGTAATGACACCTTTTACGAACACACGAGTTACTTACGTGATTCTAACTATTGATTTTTGGAATTTCATTTTGTTACACTTTTTTCAATGTAATTGCTACCTCCAATTATAAACTCATGAAATAGATTTGTTTTAATCATTCGTAATAATAATTTTATTCATTTGATATTATAAATGCATAAAACCACTTAGAGATTACATAATTATCTTGAACGAAATTAATTCGACGTAGTATGCGCGATTTGTGTCAAGGTGAGGGAGCCACGTTTTATGTTTCTTTCGTTCTCCTAGCTACGAAATGCAATATTTTCGTAATAAAAAAAAAAAGAAGAGAAAGAACAAACTCGCGACACGATTTTTTTTGCTAACGACACATCACAAACTACCTTGTTAAATAATCCTTGACTGAAGTTTCATTTAAAATTTGTTTACCGTAGAACACAATGATTTCCCCCTAATCGATTAATATACAACTATAACTACAACTATGTTCTTTCGATAGAAGAATATTTTGATAAAACAAAATATAAATAAAATTAAAATAAAAACAAAAAAGAAAAAAAAAATGTAACAAGCATCGAAATAATGTATGTTCGTTAGATCAACGTCGTGCCAAGTAACATTTGTCGCATATATGCTTGATAGGTATAGATGTACGCATAGTTTCGA